CCCGGTGAATGGGTCAGCGGGATCGTAATTGATTGGCTCGGTGTGTGAGTATCACGGTTGGGAAATCAAAAGGCCAGATTCGTCACGGTTATCTCATGCGTTTCCTTTGTCGCAAATACGCGCGTGCGCAGGATGCTGCAGTACGAACACGGTCGCGACAGCAACAAATGGCTTTACAGTGGATCATATTTCTGGGAATGTGCTAAGAAGGACATTTCGCGGCGTGAAAACGCCTATACTTTCGGCCTGGGTATTTTCGATTTCACATATGTACTCGTTCCGATAAATACCGAGTGAGTAGTCGTCGCGTCTAGCCGTAGCACCACATGTATTTCGGTAGTCTAACATCGGCGTTACTGATGTTAGACCTCATGTGTGCCTTAGGAGTCACTGGAGCCTGATCGTGATCGAGCGCATCCCGAGGCCCGACGACCCGATTCCCATGAACTGCGTGCTCTGGCACGCTGACTCGTACGGCACGCATGCCGGTGTCGATGCCCCGTTGCGAAGGTACTCTCTTTTTAAGGGCAGTCTGCTATTGTCACGTACAGAAGTTCGGGGTTACGATAGCATTGAATCTATGTCTCCCGGTGTGTAGGTACTTGCGAAACGAGGTGTTAAGATACTGTGCATGGATCAGTGAGTCCGACGCAGATGCATGGGCGGCGAGCATCCCACTAAGGCAGGTCACGGTGAGTGCTGTTGCCTTGTGTGTACGAGCTTTGAAACAATCGCATCTCCCTTTCCCTGCACGCAATTTCCACACCGAAACCCCACTCCCATCCCGGCCCTCACCACGCGCTCACGCACCCTGTGATTGTCCAGATACCCGTGCAGGCAAATGAGAACGACTGTGGTGTGTTCACGATGTGTGTGATGCACACGTTGGTCGAGGATGGTTTCCATAAACTACCGGCGTGTGAGCTTGTAGGGACGCCACTCCATTGGCGCCGTCAGTACCGTCACGATTTGAGGAAGTGGTCTGTGTATTTTCGGGCAAAAACAATGTTGGAGGTTGGAGGTGGGGCAGGCGGCGGTGATAAAGCTGGTAATGGGGCGGGTATCAAGCGAGAATGAGGCGCGAAGCATGGGGGAATGAGGCCCGAAGCAAGGGGGAATGGGGCCTGAAGCAAGGGAGAATGAGGCGGGTAGCAGTGAAGAATGGGGTGGGAAGCAAGGGGAAATGGGGTGGGTAGCAGGGGGGAATGAGGCCGGAAGCGAGGGGACATGAGGCGGGAAGCAGAGGGAATGAGGGGGGTCGCAAGGGAGAATGAGGCGGGAAGCAAGGGGGACGCGGCTCTGAAGCAAGGGGGAATGAGGGAGGTAGCAAGGGAGTATGAGGCCCGAAGCAAGGGGGAATGAGGGAGGTAGCAAGTGAGTATGAGGCCGGAAGCAAGGGGGAATGAGGCCTGAAGCAAGGGGGAATGAGGGAGGTAGCAAGTGAGTATGAGGCCCGAAGCAAGGGGGGATGAGGCCTGAAGCAAGGGGGAATGGGGAGGGTAGCAAGGGAGAATGAGGAGGGTAGCAGTGAAGAATGGGGTGGGAAGCAAGGGGGAATGGGGTGGCTAGCAAGGGGGGATGAGGCCGGAAGCGAGGGGACATGAGGCGGGAAGCAAAGGGGAATGAGGGGGGTAGCAAGGGAGAATGAGGCCGGAAGCAAGGGGAATTGGGGCCTGAAGCAAGGGGGAATGAGGGGGGTAGCAAGGGAGTATGAGGCCCGAAGAAAGGGGGAATGAGGCCTGAAGCAAGGGAGAATGAGGCCTGAAGCAAGGGGGAATGGGGAGGGTATCAAGGGAGAATGAGGAGGGTAGCAGTGAAGAATGGGGTGGGAAGCAAGGGGGAATGGGGTGGGTAGCAGGGGGGAATGAGGTCGAAAGCGAGGGGACTAGAGGCGGGAAGCAGAGGGAATGAGGGGGGTAGCAAGGGAGAATGAGGCGGGAAGCAAGGGGGACGAGGAGCTGAAGCAAGGGGGAATGAGGGAGGTAGCAAGTGAGTATGAGGCCCGAAGCAAGGGGGAATGAGGCCTGAAGCAAGGGGGAATGGGGAGGGTATCAAGGGAGAATGAGGAGGGTAGAAGTGAAGAATGGGGTGGGAAGCAAGGGGGAATGGGGTGGCTAGCAAGGGGGGATGAGGCCGGAAGCGAGGGGACATGAGGCGGGAAGCAGAGGGAATGAGGGGGGTAGCAAGGGAGAATGAGGCGGGAAGCAAGGGGGACGCGGCTCTGAAGCAAGGGGGAATGAGGGAGGTAGCAAGTGAGTATGAGGCCCGAAGCAAGGGGGAATGAGGCCTGAAGCAAGGGGAAATGGGGAGGGTATCAAGGGAGAATGAGGAGGGTCACAGTGAAGAATGGGGTGGGAAGCAAGGGGGAATGGGGTGGGTAGCAAGGGGGGATGAGGCCGGAAGCGAGGGGACATGAGGCGGGAAGCAGAGGTAATGGGGCGGGAAGCAGGAGGGAGTGAGGCGGGTACATGGGAGGAATAAGTGTGTGAGTGAAGAACAAGGAAGCGGGTAGCATGGGGGAATGAGGACAAGATCAATACGAAATTGTTTGTTCATCCGTCCTGCCAGCTTGATATGCCAACAAACATGACACAAAGCGCAATGGAGAGGCCTTGAATCAGTCCTGCATGACTTGACAACAAGTGTGGCCAAATGAGAGTGTTGGCCACAACCAGTCCTCCATGTCTAGAGAACACTACCCGTAGGGAAGTGTTTGTCACTGGCGTTCCTGCTTGACATGTATACAAACAATACACAATGGGTCGGTGTGATGCTGCAAAACATACCTGCATGTCGCCACAACTCTAGTGGGTAGAACAGCAGGGGTTTCTCAACTCCGTTCCAGCATGAACCTAGAACATACAACACAGCATGGTCTTGGGTCCCTGCATAAAGGTTGCCCTGTATGGCATGAGAGCAGCCATGCCCCATACGGGGAGTTTGTGTCTGGCTCTATTACCGTATTATTGCACCTCAATTGGCATGAGAGGAGACATGCCCATACGCGTTGCATAACGACCAGGCAGCAATCAAATAATGCGTACTTACTAATCAATCGATGTATCAGAATGACTGCTCCACCGCAGACCGTTATGTACATGTTCTGTGAAGGTGGTGTTTGGTTTTACACTGTTATGTTGCATACTTGTCACTATGCTAATGGGTTAGGGGGACTCCTGTTACGAGTGCAATTGAGTGAGCGAACGAGGATTGCACTATCGGGAAAAAAGTACAACTGAGCGAAGGTATGAGCGAAAGGTTATATAGCGAAACCACAGTGGTAACGGTAATGGACTGTGGTTGTCGCGCGACGGGCATGGCACTGAGGTTGGGAAAATGTCGAGGCGAAGGTCCGGAGCGCGGGTTACCGCCGAGCCGTGAGGTCGGGGTGCGACGTGCGAAAGTGGGGGGCGGATTGTCGATGCGAGTGGTAACGGTGCTGACTGAGGTGCTACAGTGATGGACGCATTGAGCAGGGATGCGAAGTAAGGAAAACGAGATTTTCCTTACAACTCCATAACCCCCTAATTCTATTTTTATCATTTACGTACACCACACTATTGAGGCTTTGCAAACTAATGTGCCATTACGTGCCCCGCCCTGCGCCATTCCACTCGACTCCACGCTATGCCACGTACGCGAATCTCCCTGATTTGCGAACCAGTCGCAACCACACACAAGGAACTTTTGAGTTTGCGTTTTTATCGCAGGCGTGCCGCAACGGCTTCGTGTCGACCTGTCGCATTGCTGTACGTCTTGCTGCGATCGAGCGTCGCCGTTTCTCCGCAGACCCTATGTGACTCTTGACGTGCAGCTTGTGTAGGTTTGTGTGGCACGCGAGGCACTTCATTGTAAACAGTATGACAACCCGGGCAGAATAATTATGACCCTCGCAAACCCAGATACAGTAGCGCATTTGACTGTCGGGTTTAACAAAAAGAAGCCCACCCTGCCGCTTGTGGACTGATACTCAATTAAGCACATTAGGTCCCACGGAATCTTAACACGGCAGTGCTGCATTTTTTTCCTTTATACACCTCAACCACCAGGCGATTGGTTGAGGGCGGAAAAGGGGGACCTGGCAGTCGCAACGTGCACCATAGCTGGAAACACTCAAACCCTCATCACCTCCGTGCTCCCCTTGCATGCCTCCAGCTGTGACGATCGTCTGCTCTAGGCCCCAGACTTTGCCTCGTCCCTCTCCCTCCTCAACCATTTTTTTATGCTCGTAGACTGCTGTCAGGTTCTAGGCGGTAGCACAACCCGCAACCTCATAGTACTGCGTGAATGGAAAGCTAGACATGGTAACAAGGAAGTCAGACAATAAAGGGGCCCGAGGGGGCGATCGTACTGGCTGAATCGACAAAAACCCCCGACGAAACAAAGTTTGCGGAGTTAGTAACAGCAGATAAGACGGCCGAGCTCGTAATCGAGTATCGCAAAAATAATGCATCGACGGCGCGAGATGTTGTTGATTCCAGACGTGTCTCGTCATCCGGTGACGAATCGAATAGCGACTGCGATGTGGAGCCATACGCAAACAAGGGCATATCATCCGCTTCGAAACCAAGGGATAAGCGCGTGAAGCGCTTAGATGATCTCGTTCCCAAAGGCGGCCAGAAAGGTATGTGTTTATGGTCGGAGATGCGGAATATTCTACTTGTATGCATGAATTGATGCTTGTAGTCGTGTCTGACCTATTGGAGGTTATCGTCTCTCCAATTGTGTTTCCACATCAGCGATAGCGGACAAGCGTGACAACCGGGGGGGGCGTAAGCACCGTCCAAGAAAAAGAGGCACTCGTTCACATCGTGAGGAAACGCCTGCGTCTGAAGGCGACGAGGAGGGCAAAGACGAGGGACCTGACAGCTTAGGTACGCTGTGGGTGTGATATCGACGGTTTATATTTTGCACGTTACTCGTAACAATGACGCCGCATGTCATGCTGCAACTTCGTGCCAATAAGATAATGTGTGCACAGTATTTCTTATGTACCTGTCATGTCCGCCTTCGCAGATGGGACGGCAGGCCAACGCGCTCGTGGTGGCGGAAAGCGCAACGGCGGCAGGGCTGCCGCGGCCAAGGGCGGTCCCTCGGGCAGGCAGTCGCAGGATGCGGATGGAGGCGACGAGGGGGATCATGCCGAGCCGGAAGCTCGTGGTGGCGGAAAGCGCACCGGCGGCAGGGCTGCCGCGACCAAGGGCGGTCCCTCGGGCTCGCATGATGCGGATGGTGGCGACGAGAAGGATCATGCCGGGCCGGAAGCTCGTGCTGGCGGCATACGCAACGGCGGCAGGGCTGCCGCGGCTAAGGGCGGTCCCACGGGCAGGCAGTCGGAGGATGCAGATGGTGGCGACGAGGGGGATCATGCCAAGCCGGAAGCTCGTGGTGGCGGCATGCGCAACGGCGGTAGGGCTGCCGCGGCCAAGGCCGGTCCCTCGGGCTCACAGGATGCGGATGGTGGCGACGAGAAGGATCATGCCAAGCCGGAAGCTCGTGGTGGTGGCATGCGCAACGGCGGCAGGGCTGCCGCGGCTAAGGGCGGTCCCACGGGCAGGCAGTCGGAGGATGCAGATGGTGGCGACGAGGGGGATCATGCCAAGCCGGAAGCTCGTGGTGGCGGCATGCGCAACGGCGGTAGGGCTACCGCGGCCAAGGCCGGTCCCTCGGGCTCACAGGATGCGGATGGTGGCGACGAGAAGGATCATGCCGAGCCGGAAGCTCGTGGTGGCGGCATGCGCAACGGCGGCAGGGCTGCCGCGGCTAAGGGCGGTCCCTCGGGCAGGCAGTCGCAGGATGCGGATGGTGGCGACGAGAAGGATCATGCCGTGCCTGCATGCCGTGGCGTTAACGATCATGATGAGGACGAGCCAGCAGCTGTGACTGATGGGAAAGGTGGACGTGAAGCTGTGATTCCCTACCAACGGCGCAAGGCTGTGGATCCGGGCAGTTGCGACCATAAGGCGAGACAAGCTCGGCACGGCCCCAATGTGCACGTTTTGAGCTCGTCTGGTTCCGAGGAAGATTCGAGCGACAGTGAGTAGGGCAGCTCATCCGGGAGTGAGGAGGTATACGAGGACGAGGTTGAGGAGGAGGAGGACGAGGATGATGAGGAGTTGGAGCCGAAGAGCGAGGATGGGGAGGAGGCTCGGCCTTTGAAAAGGAGGAGTGTGCGGAAGCTCAAGAAGGGCAACGCTAAGCAAAAATCGGAGAGGGGACGGGTGAAGATCTGTAAACAGAGTGTGCGTCGTGCCAAACCACATGGCAAGCGCCAGAGACCTCGATTCGAAGCTAAAATAGTGGGTGTGCGTAGCAAGGCGAAGCGGGAGTTGAATTTTTACGAATCAATGGGGATACGATGTCCATCAAGCTCTCATGAACGGCAAGCCGCGGACCCGTACGCTGCGTTACGCGATCCGATGGGTTCGGCTGGGAAGGGAGATCAGATGGCTTGGGGGTCAGCGCGGTTTGGCAAAGAAGCGACGGACCCGCCCCCCAACCATATGGGGGGTCGCGCGGTTCATGTGAAGAACGAGGGGGCAACAAAGCGGCACGAACCCTCGGTAGCTGCAGCAGCGAATGACAGTGTGGGAGGAGGTGTGTGGGCGAATGCCTTGGGTGAATGTGGCGGCGGTGTGGAAGGCTCCATGTGGGATGTACGGGAGAGCAGGGGAGAAGGGGGGGACGAAAAAATGGATCCGGCGACTAAGGAGGGGAGGGGAGAGAGCATGGGCACACCTGGCGCATCCAGTCGGCCGGATGTGGCTGGCGGCAGGACTGTGGAGCAGCTCATGCGAGAGCTTGCCCAGCGGGATCGCGAAATCGCTGCACTCAAGGCAAGGCCAGGATCAAAAGGAGCTGTCAAGCCCTGCACCCCTCCATCTAGGCCTCCTCCTCTAGCATCTCTGTCGAGCGGCCCATCTATAGGGGGCCTCGATCCAGACGTGGCGCCAGAAAGCCCAGCGACGGTAGACGTACCGGTCCGTCGAACGCGTGGGATGCCCACACCCAAGCTGCTGAAGGTGAGATTGTTTTAGTGTTAAACAATGTGTGGCATGGGGCTCAGTGATAGCTGCAGCTCTCTCTCTCAACCCCTCTTGCTGCTGGTAAGCGTGTTTGTGGCATTATGCGCAGTGATAGCGGCAAGTCTGCAGTGGGATAGGCATTCCCAGTACGCCTCGCTTCAGGGACGTGGCGCTGGGCGTACGATGCTCTCACATTCTGCCCGCGACCCAGAGCTCACCATAGCAGTTATCCATCCTCCATTGGCCCCTCTCTCCCATCCCTTCCCACCCTAAACCAGAGCCCCTGTTCATGGTGCTGGTGCTGGTGTGGGTGGCACGCGGCGCAAGGATAGCTCATTGTAGCAGTTATCCTTCCTATCCCTCCCCCTCTCTCCCATCCCTCGCCTAGCTCTTCCAGAGCCCCTGTTCCTGGTGCTGGTGGTGGTGTGAGTGTCATGCGGCGGATGGATAGCTAAGAATAGCAGTTATCCTTCATCTCACTTCCCTCTCTCTCCCGTCCCTCTCCTCCCTCTGCGAGAGCCCCTGTTCCTGGTGCTGGTGGTGGTGTGGGTGTCATGCGGCGGAGGGAATAGAGGAAGCCGTATCCGTCAACCCCATGCGGCCCCCTTTCTGTCCGCCGCTCCTCCCTCCCCTCTCTATCCCGTCCCTCTCCCTCCTCGTCCAGAGCCACTGTAAAAGGTGCTGCTGGTCACGCGTGTGGCATGCGGCGTAGCGTGCAGGGGGGTGGCTGCAGTGGAAGTTGAGACTCCTCGTACGAGGAGAACATGAACCCTCGCGCTGGGCGTACATTGCCCTCTCACTCTGCCTACTCTCCCATCTTTCGCTCTGACTATTTAATCCCCTCTCTCTCCACTCTCACTCGTGCATCGCTCCCCTACCTCAACCAGAGCTCCTGTTCATGGTGCTGGTGGTGGGGTGGGTGTCATGCGGCGGAGTGATCGTAAATCGCAGCAGTTATCCTTCCCATCCCTCCCCCCTCTCTCCCATCCCTCCCCTCCCTCTGCGAGAGCCCATGTTCATGGTGCTGGGGGTGGTGTGGGTGTCATGCGGCGGAGGGATAGCTAAGCATAGCAGTCATCCTTTATCTCACTCCCCACTCTCTCCCATCCCTCCCCTCCCTCTGCGAGAGCCCATGTTCATGGTGCTGGGTGTGGTGTGGAATACATGTCGTGCGGCGGAGGGATAGCTAAGCATAGCAGTCATCCTTCATCTCACTCCCCTCTCTCTCCCATCCCTCTGCGAGAGCCCCTGTTCATGGTGCTGGGGGTGGTGTGGGTGTCATGCGGCGGAGGGAATAGAGGAAGCCGTATCCGTCAATCCCACGCGGCCCCCTTTCTGTCCGCCGCTCCTCCCTCCCCTCTCTATCCCGTCCCTCTCCCTCCTCGTCCAGAGCCACTGTAAAAGGTGCTGCTGGTCACGCGTGTGGCATGCGGCGTAGCGTGCAGGGGGGTGGCTGCAGTGGAAGTTGAGACTCCTCGTACGAGGAGAACATGAACCCTCGCGCTGGGCGTACGTTGCCCTCTCACTCTGCCTACTCTCCCGTCTTTCGCTCTGACTATTTAATCCCCTCTCTCTCCACTCTCACTCGTGCATCGCTCCCCTACCTCAACCAGAGCTCCTGTTCATGGTGCTGGTGGTGGGGTGGGTGTCATGCGGCGGAGTGATCGTAAATCGCAGCAGTTATCCTTCCCATCCCTCCCCCCTCTCTCCCATCCCTCCCCTCCCTCTGCGAGAGCCCATGTTCATGGTGCTGGGGGTGGTGTGGGTGTCATGCGGCGGAGGGATAGCTAAGCATAGCAGTCATCCTTTATCTCACTCCCCACTCTCTCCCATCCCTCCCCTCCCTCTGCGAGAGCCCATGTTCATGGTGCTGGGGGTGGTGTGGGTGTCATGCGGCGGAGGGATAGCTAAGCATAGCAGTCATCCTTCATCTCACTCCCCTCTCTCTCCCATCCCTCCCTTCCCTCTGCGAGAGCCCATGTTCATGGTGCTGGGTGTGGTTGTGGAATACATGTCATGCGGCGGAGGGATAGCTAAGCATAGCAGTCATCCTTCATCTCACTCCCCTCTCTCTCCCATCCCTCCCCTCCCTCTGCGAGAGCCCCTGTTCATGGTGCTGGGGGTGGTGTGGGTGTCATGCGGCGGAGGGAATAGAGGAAGCCGTATCCGTCAATCCCACGCGGCCCCCTTTCTGTCCGCCGCTCCTCCCTCCCCTCTCTATCCCGTCCCTCTCCCTCCTCGTCCAGAGCCACTGTAAAAGGTGCTGCTGGTCACGCGTGTGGCATGCGGCGTAGCGTGCAGGGGGGTGGCTGCAGTGGAAGTTGAGACTCCTCGTACGAGGAGAACATGAACCCTCGCGCTGGGCGTACGGTGCCCTCTCACTCTGCCTACTCTCCCGTCTTTCCCTCTGACTATTATATCCCCCCTCTCTCCCCTCTCACTCTACCATCGCTCCCCTACCTCAACCAGAGCTCCTGTTCATGGTGCTGGTGGTGGGGTGGGTGTCATGCGGCGGAGTGATCGCTCACCATAGCAGCTATCCTTCCTCTCCCTGCACCCTCTCTCCCATGCCTCCACCACCTCTTCCAGAGCCCATGTTCATGGTGCTGTTGTTGGTATACGAGCCATGCGGCGCAGTGATGGCAACAGCCCTCTCTCTCAACCTCTGAATTCCGCCCTTCATTCGGAGGCATCACTCAATTTTACGTTTCCAATCCACCCGTCCGTCATAGGTTCATTTCGCCGTGGGGCGGGACCGGATGTGCCTAGAATGGCCAGACGATGCCATAGACTTCTACCCAACGCTCGAACAGCGCCTTCAGGTTTTGTATCAAGTTATCAGCGAGACGCACATAATTAAGCTGATGCAGCTGCGAGAGGCTATGGAAGACAAATACATCGTCGATGGCTTCAAACGCGCTTGGACGTCATGGAAGAACGATCGTGGCTTCCACCTCAAGCGCAGAGTGCTTGTAACTTTCGGCAAGAATGTGCAAGGCCTGCGTGCAGCCGATCTCTGGATGGGCACCAAGAAGAAGAAGAAGATGTGGAGAAAATACCAACCGAGTGAGAACGCACGTTTCTGTTTTACTTCACCATTCATTTCATCTGCTCGTGCACCCCTCGTGACGATGATGAACAACTTACCCTTATGCATCCCCACTGTGGCACGCAACTACATACCTGCTCTCCTTGCCCAGCCTTGTAGCGCATGTGCAGTCACATCCGCATGACAGCTTAACGTTGGTTCTTCTCCCACTGTCCCCTTCTCCCGCCCCCCCTTTAATCTACACCTCTCCCCTTCCCTCCCGCCATCCCGTTCTCTCCCTCCCTCCATTTCTCTTCAGCCATCCCCTTCTATCCCGCCCTCCATGTCTCTCCTGCCCTCCCCCTCTCCCCTGCCCTCCCCTTCTCTCCTGCCCTCCCCTTCTCTCCCGCCCTTCCCTGCTCTACTGCCCTCCAGCCAACCCTCCATTCATTCTATACCGCCCTCCACTTCGTCCATACCCTTTGGACAACCCCTAAACCATGTCGTGCATGATCTTCGTCCCCGCCTTGTCCTGCGTGCGCGCAGGAGGGAATCAGCGGGTCAGCTCGTGGGGAAACAGCAGAGACGGGCTCCCGTTTGCCAACGGCCGGTTTGTAGATGCGGTCCGGGAAGCATTTTGGAATCTCTGTGTCGGGCGCCGGGTGTGCGTCAAAGCCTACCACATTGCCTGGTCAATCATGGTGGTAAGGCATTATTTCTCTCCCGTCAGTTCGCTCTAGCTTTGCTTGCAATTCTTGCCCGCCAGACTGGAATGTGGGGCTATTTGCGCAGCCCGTGAACACTACACGCGAGTGTCCACATATGTCTCTATTTCCCCTCTTTCCCATACTTTGCTACGCTTTTTCAGATTGAACAGGGCTTGGCAAAGGTTAAGAAGACCGACTGGAACGTCTCGAACTCCCACCGCAAGAACACCGAGTGGATGACGGGTTTGCACCGAAATGTGCGGTGGATTATCAAGGACCACTTCACACGCCACACCCCCGTGTACAACACAGTCGTGCAGGGCTTCAAGTGGGGCAACCGTGGCCTGTATGTTCACGAGTCAGGATTTGAGGCGTTCAAGGGGAAGGCCGTGCCTGACGAGGAGAAGAAGGACTTGAAGGAGGAAGAGCAGGAGGTGTACGACGCGGAGGACTTGAAGACGGATGACGAGGAGGATGACGAGGATCAGGAGGAGGAGGAGGAGGAGGAGGAGGAGGAGGAGGAGGAGGAGGAGGAGGAGGAGGAGGAGGAGGAGGAGGAGGATGAGGAGGAGGAGGAACAGTGGGGGCAGGAGCGGAGGAAGAGCAAAAGGCACAAGAGATGCAAAAGCAGGGGAGGCAAGAGGGATGGGCAAGAGGATGAGGATGAGGAAGAGGAGGAGGAGGATGTGGAACGGGGGGGGCGGGAGCTTAGGAAGGGCAGAAGGCAGAAGAGAGGGAAAATCAGAGGAAGAAGGGGGGAAGAGGAAGAGGATGAGGAGGAGGAGGAGGGGGAGCAGGCGGATGAAAATCATAGGGGGCAGGAGAGGAGGAAGGGCAGAAAGCACAAAAGAGGCGGAGGCAAGGGAAGCAGGAGGGAAGAGGAAGAGGAGGAAGAAGTGGAAGAGGAGGAAGAGGATGAGGATGAGGATGAGAAGGGGGGGGGCTAGGAGCAAAGGAGGGGCAAAAGACACAAGAGTGGCAAACGCCGGGGAGGCAAGAGGGTCAAGCGATGGGGCGACTAAACAAGGGGGGCAGCAGATGAGGCATGAGTGGAGTTTACAAGGGGGGGCAGCAGGATAGGCATCACACACTTGCGAGGAGACATCAAAACGGAGGTAGAGGCATTGGTGGAGACAGCAAGGGGGGCAGCACGCCAAGCAAGAAAGTAGAGTCAGCATGGGGGGTAGCACGGGCGGCAAAAGCGTGGAGTCAGCAAGGGGGGCAGCAGTAGAGACAATGTGAGGAGTGTCCAAGGGTGGGCAACCAGCAAGGCAACCAGATAGTGCAAGAGGGTGCAGCAGAAAAGGCATGAGTTGAGAGAGTTGGGGGGGCAGCAGAAAAGGCACGAGCAGATAGAGGGGAGTGCACAAGGGGGGCAGCAGGTTAGGCATGACTGGAGCAAGCAGCAGTAAAGGCAAGACTGGGGAGCGCCAGGGGCGGAGCAGCAGACGCATGAGAGGGCAGAGCATGCAATGAAGCAGTGGACGCAGGGGCACGCGGTTCGGTGGAAGACATAGTGTACTGGAGCATGCTAAGCAGGTTGTAGGATGCAGCTCAACCTAACTGACTAGGCACAGAGGGTTTAGGATGCTGTTTTATGTGCGTTTTTAGGGTGGAATTATCAGCTTTTACCAAAGCTTCTGTACTGTTCATTTTGAATGCAAGATTGAGGCAACTTAACATAGTTTTAAAATACATCTAAGGTCGTGAAATTCTCATACATAAGCTTATTTTAATGAACCCGAAATCCCATAAAGAATACATTGCAATGAGATCCGATCTTCGAAATTGCTCTGCGGAAACTTGTACCAAACTTCTTCCGAAGGTGTTCACCTGGCAGGTTTGAACAGAAAAGCATTGGAGAAGCATTTGAAAAGCGTTTGAGAAAGCATTTGGAAAGCAACCTATACTTTCTCAAAAACGCGTTCGAAAAACGTCGTTCATGAATCATTCGACAAAACTCCAAAGCAACTTTTTTCATCGGTTTTCCGGATGCAGGATTTTTGTGATGGGGTTACCTGCCTTGTATCGTGCCGATATATAGCCACATAGTTGTATCCACGATACATGATTAAATTCTGAATTTGATCCTTAGATCCTCACACTCACAACCTGGTCGCTTGGGTGACTTGCGATAGCACTAGTGAGAAAGCGGGCGAACATATGCCTGTGGGTTGGAATGATTAAAATCTTTAGGAGTGTAGCCTCGTGATTGGAATGGCCTGTGGAAGGTCAGTGTGGGGAGGATGAACCCCCAGGTGGGGCGTGGGGCAAAAAAACGGGTGGCGTGCGGGGCAAAAAATGTTATGTATTGTGTGTGCCGCTCCAGGTGTGTTCAGCACAAAAGGTGTTAGTACATCCCTGAAAAACTATCCTCTTTGTGTTGGCCGTGCGGGAAAGTAAGCAGCAATAAGCCGGAATTCCCGCTGCTGCCATTTGAAGGTCACACATATCAGTTTCCCTGAGTCATGCTGGATGATGTATCTAGACTTTATTCCTTGTATGAAACCAAGTATGGCACTCCACTTGCTCATTGACTTGGTGACACCACTGCTGCTGCTTCTGTTAAAAGATGGCTCCATATAGTGTGATTTGCCGGTATCTTTGTGTCTGTTAACACCACAATGCTAGCCGCTTTCCTGATCCAGTATCTGCATCATTCTTTTTTTCCGCTGCTGCCGAGCCCATTAATGTTGAGCTCCAAAAACGTGAAATTGTGTTGTTTATCCATCGGTAAACTGCTTTAAGCCCCTCAGCATCCACGGGCGATAAGACTTCACTGAAGACAGATAAGCTGCTACAACAACCGACAGAACAACTGCCATCACTCCTCTAGCTACCAGCATTGTTGAGATGCGCATCTGCTATGCTAGCATGGCTCACTTCTCCTGCTTCTTCACGAAGTCTTTCTTGAAAGTGTTTGGGTTCTTAGTGCCTTTTGTTGCACGTGTTGCAGATCCAGACTTGCGCAGCCCTGCCCTGTGATGCACCGATGCAATGTGAGCGGCTGGCTTGTCCCTTCTCGCAGGCTGCTAGCACACAGACCCACTCCTCCTTCCTTCATCCAGTGGATGTGTGAACCAACGCTAGGTCCTTCAAGACACACTTTAAGAGACCTGTGACTTTCGGGGAGGCCGCTGAGGGGAGCAATAGAGAAGAGAACGTCAGTACGAATTCCAGCGAGATGCAATTCAACCAACTGCTCCAAAGTAAGTACACCACTCCTTATATCGTTAATGTTGTGAACCTTTTTCACCATCAGATTCCACCTCCCCATGCTATCCTTTCGCGGCGTCACATAGTCGTCGTGGTACCATGGAATATGTTGTCCTTCGCAATAACCGCAGGTGAGGCTTGGGAAGTGCAGCAGGAATTTCCTTCCCGGCAGCGACGTAAACTCCAGAGAGTGGAGCCAGCGATAGGTGACTGGAGCATGCGGGACAACCAGCCCACGGATCCGGTTCGTGTCCATGCCAGACACCGAGTCAGCCATCCTGTGGAAAACCCTCTTGAGCATTGTCGCCTCAACCAGCATGCGACGCACCATCTACGGCGATATCTCTGCAGGGACCGATTTCATCACCACTTTGACTGGATAGGGGTTGAGCGTACGTTCTCTAAGGAAACATGCATCCTCTGGGTACTACCAGGGCAACTGCAAGAAGTTGTCATCAGCACACTCCTGTTAAATGACTTGTCCACGAATGAATTCAGCATCCATGACATTATCAAATGTCACCAGCCTGCCAAACTTCTGGCGGGAGAGGTAGTCGTCTTTAGCTGCTGAAACTTCGCCGTCCGAATTGCATGAGGCTAGAGGTCATCCTTCCACAAATCCAGCATTGTCGCGATTGTAGCTTTCGTTCGCGGGACTTCCGCATTTATGTTAAATGGGACGAGAAGCATTAGCGACACTTAAGTCTGTGCAACGACAGCGTTAGCGACGAACCGATCAAACATCTCGTCCAGGTCATTGCTGACGTAGCCATCCCCATCCTCTTCAGGGTCTAGTTCGGAGACGGCTGCTTCGTTGTCAGATCCGTCTTTGCTGTTGTCATTGGCATTGCTGCTGCCACCCACCTCAGTCTCTTCACCTTTCTCTTTCCCATTCTCATATCCATTGTTCTGCAGCATCGTGTTCCCTTTCATTGTTATTACGCGCCTCTAGTAGCGGTGCATTGCGAATGGTTACTTTAGAAGCATTCACATGGCATGGCCATATGAGATAAACATTGCATTCATTGCCACTCAAACTGAGTGTCTTCCTACACTTCACGAATATCTTTGGTTATACACCAATGGAAGCTATGTATGTACTCCCTGCTATCTTCTAAGCCCTCGATGAGGATGGTCACTGGCCTCATTCTCTTCCATAACTGTATGCGCAGGCGCTTGACAGCAGGAGACTAGTCCCGCGACGGACAGCATTCCCCGCTATACCCCTTACACACGTCTCTGCCGCGTTCCCCCCTGTTGTTCCGTGTCTAGTGCCATAGCATGCGTTTGTGAGTTACGGGTGTTGAAATAGTAGGCATAGCTAGGACTAGGAGCTTAGGGTTTGCCCTAGGCATAAGAGAGATGTCCAAGCAAGAAGGTGGTTGAACAATAGAATGACAAGTACAAATAGAGGAGAAGCATGCAAGGAGTGGTGCACCACCACACAGGACAACTATGGGACTACACTACAGCTAGAACTACACGCAGTTAAACAAAATATATATAAAATATATTATTCTGACACACCCCCTAAGTGCATGCAGAAATATCGATGTGCAGAACACCCCCTGAAGTGGTACACCCTGCAGGGCGCAGCAGAAGAAGAGGCGAAGTGAGGAAGGGGGAGGAGGAACTGTGAGAAGAGTGGAGATAGGAGGCGACGGGTGAAGCCGCAGACACACGGGCAACAGGAGGGGCGCGCACGGTGGCTACCGGAGCAAGGGCCCCGGACTACAGGAGTAACTGGCTCCGCGGCTAAGACGAGCGGCAGGAGCAACGGACCCACGGGCGACTGGCGCAGCGACTGGCTCGCACACACCCCCTGCTGCACCCCTAGCGCCAATCCCACGGCACCCCCATAGCGCCACGCCCTCGGCTCCCACACACCCACCCCCCTCAGCGGCAGCTGCAGCTGTGGGAGAGAGGAGGAGGAGGAGGAGGAGGAGCAAGGGACGACTCACACACCCGCCACCCCCATACCCTCCACCCCATGGCTGCACGCGTAGCAGGGAGAGGAAGCAGAAGGGGGGGGGGGGGGACGGGGGGGGGGGGGGGGGGGGGGGGGGGGAAGAAGCTGCCCCGCGGCGCACGAGGGCAAGGGACGGTGCGCGGGACCACAGGGCAGCGCGCGCGGGTCCCCTGGGGCGACGCGCGGGTCGACGGGGGCTGCGCGCGGGTCCACAGGGCAGCGCGCACGGGTCTCCTGGGACGACTCGCGGGTCAACGGGGGCAGCGCGCGGGTCGATGGGGCAGCGCGCGCAGGTTCCCTGGGGCGACTCGCGGGTCGACGGGGGCAGCGCGCCGAGCAGAAAACCGCCGCGCGCCCGGGGCGCGTGGCGGGCAGAAAACGTCGCGTGCCCAGGGCGCGCGATAGGCAGGAAAATCGTCACGTGCCCGGGGCGCGCGACTGAAAGAACAGCAGCGGAAGTGAACGGTGGGCCCATGAGGGGAAAACGTCCCGAGGAACGAACAGCTCTTAATACCATGTTGAAATAGTAGGCATAGCTAGGACTAGGAGCTTGGGGTTTAACCTAGGCATGAGAGAGATGTCCAAGCAAGAAGGTGGTTGAACAATAGAATGACAAGTACAAATAGAGGAGAAGCATGCAAGGAGTGGTGCACCACCACACAGGACAACTATGGGACTACACTACAGCTAGAACTACATGCACTTATACAATATATATATATAATATATTCTTTGACAACGGGTTGCCAGAGTGCAACCCGGGACCACTTCGAACTTCAAATTGGACCCAGTGAATCAAATCATGCTCGCTACTCCGCTATGACCCTCTCTTCGTGGCCCTGTTGTAGTGGGACAGCTCGTCTTCTCCACTCCCCCCATGCTCAAAGCCTGAGGGGCCGTTGACCTGTCGCACGATTGCCCGATTAAAATGGACAGTTTCCATTCCATTCAAAGTGCAGATGCGAACAAACAAACCCACCAACGCCCTTGTTTGCATTGCACATCTACCCCCGTTGTCCAATCAGGTTTTTTCTTCTGGTCTGGCTCACAAAATGCGCGACGGACAAATAAATAGTAAGCACGTTATTGTCGTATCCAAAGCACCCTCACTTCTCTCAACAATGCTTTCAGGGCCTCCCTTCACAATTTTTCCTGCTTGCTTTAAACCCCCCTCTGGTCTTTTATCTGGAGAATTATGGTAGCACCATGGAGACTACAGATTAGTGCAAGCTGCTTGCAATTTTGCATTGGCAAAGGAGACTCTTCATATTCGCGCTGTTCTGGCATGTAACCCCGAGTTTACTGAACCACCATCGTGTTTCATCGTATGCGGAATCGCCCTCCACAATTCCCCCTTAGCGGTTATGAAGTTACCTCGGGGTATGATTCACAGAGTGAAACATGGTAGTTGGACGTCACTTGAAATTACGATGGCACGCAAATAGACTTCTCTGCTACAGTTCCAGAGCAAGGCCTACCATTGTACTCATAAAAACGTGTGATTCCTTTTGAGGTAGCCCCACCGTAGAAGCTGTAAGCAGCTGAGCACGCCATTGACCGCTGCACAGGCTTGGCCCTACCCTTCTTGCATAAACCCATCGTGAACGACCAATACTCTGCCCTGAGGCAAACCTGGAGCCGTAGGATGCATGGGATGGGACAGAGGTTCATAAATTGATAAGGGCATCGGAGAAACTGGAGTAGATTAACAAGGATTGCAGAATAGACGCAAAGGTGATAAGGCACGACCCCTCAGCCCTCACAATCCTCACCTGCACACCAATATTGCTGCCGATAGCGGAGGCAGAGGAAGGGATGGTGTTGGAGCAAGTGAGGCCGGGATTGTTGCGGTACAGCGCAGCCCATGGATTCTCACTGGCACCCCCTTGTGAATTGTCATTGGGATTGGCTTCCGCAGGGGGCACGCTCTTGCTGGTCCTTTGAAGCAGCTGCTCGCACGTGTCTCGAGGTGTGAGCGTGCCGTATCTCACACACTCAGGCACCGTGAATGCAAAGGAAGCACTGCGCTCGACGCACACAGAGCGGCCCGCCTTGATGGGCTTGGAGCAGTCAAGGCCGGGGTTGAGAGTTGTGAGACTTCCGTAATTGAAGTTGAGCGATGTGCTGATGGATGCACAGGTGTCCCCCTGGAGGGTTGAACAAGGGCAGGGAAAGTGATGACTGATGCTTGTGATGTGCTTAGTGATATTTTCCGGGTGATTGGGATGTGCAGGGAAGTTGTCTATGCGAGTTGGTCGAGTGCATGTTGTGGTGTGGGCAAGAAAGCAGCAGGTCTCACATTGAGGGAGTAGAAGAAAGCAGTGCATGGTGTGGCAGGAGTATTAGCCAGCTGAAGGACACTTCCCTTGGGCAATGGCTGGCTGCAGTCAATGCCCTGCAAAGGGGAAACACGTGCATGAATGAGAACTCAGTACCACACAGGGAAGGCCTCCTATCCTCACTAGGCCCGGGAGAGTAAGGTTCTCACACCTCAGTATTCAATACAGCATCTAGGTGTCGTCCTGTGAATGAAAGAGTGGAGAGTATCTGTTCGTTGATGTAAGGGTGAAAGGATGGAAATACAAAGCTGAATCACGGCTCATAACTCGAACACCCTTTTCACTCACTCTGTTTTGGTCTGTGAAGTCAGTCAGTGAGAGGCCAATAAGCGGATGAACATCTGAGCACCACCAGTTGTCTCCACTGACTGTCACTGTGGTGGCCGTGGTGTTAGCTGCAGGTAGAATGGGGAGTGAGATAGAGGCAAGGAGAGAAAGAGATCCATTGAAGATTTGAAGGAAGAGAAAAAATATTGGAGGAATGGAAGATGCCAGCTACACCAAGCAAGCGGAGGCTACCGGGCATATTCACCAGTGAACAAGACCTATGGACATATTGAAGTGACTTACTTGGATCGCAGGTGGGGAAACCGTCAACTGTTGTGCTTTGAACGTGGTTGGGAGGGCAAATGCAAGAGTAAGAGCCCTTGCCATCGTTGATGCATGCTCCCACGTAGCAGGGGTTCTTGAAGTATGACCCACACACGTCCACTGCCACACGCGTATCGAGGAGGCAGATAGTACAGAGAGTTAAGACAAGCATGGTTACTATGATGAAAGTGAGGGGAAATATTCGGGAATAAAAAGGGTATAAGGTCTGCACACTCCCAGCCACCTCTGGGGGACCTCTAACATACATTGGACACAGGCAATAGCATGTAGAGCACAAGGATCTTAGAGGAGTCCTGTTCGCTCTCCTCATTGCCCACACTCTCTGTGGGACAATCTGCATATATTTGAAAACTACTGCGTGCTACAATAGCACGACATACTTTAGTGTTAGATCAAATTACATGCCCTTCCACTCACCCTTTAACTTGCCACTGATCTTACCATAAGCACATGTGGAGCCATTTCCATTTGCAACTTCCACAAAAGGCTGCACAGTAGCGGTGGGAATATTGCAGGTGCAGTTATTGCTGCTTGCTGTCGTCCCCAGGCACTGGAACCTGCCACACGGGTTCATGCTGGGCTGCAAATCCCCATCGCCCTTGTAGCTCCTTTCTCCGCAGGGGTCCCCTGGAACTGGAAGGTGTTAAAGAGGATACACTTGAAGTACATAATAATGATGGAGGTTACAGCAGACACTTAGAGCAGACAAACAAGCCTGGAGGAAAGAGACGAGGCAGCTCATGCCACTTTGCTAAGCACCACAGTAACAGGTGCGTTTGTGCTTACCAAGCTTGACGCTATGATTCACCTCTAGTAAACAAAATTTCGGCTTTCAGCTTCCACGCACACTGTTCATGCGCTAATATGTTCCATATCTAAGCCAGTCCTACCTAACCCATTCCTTCTCTACATTCTTTCCTGCCTCATTTTAGAATCCCACCTTTACAACCGTAGTCCTCATTTTTCTACTGAATCTGCTCAGTAGCTGCTTCTTTTAATGCTCTTCCTGCATGTTCTCTTCGTCTGTTCACATTCGACCTAATACTCTTCCATTTGCCTCTGATGCTGCTTGCCCGCATTTACTTTGAGTTTTCTAGGGCCATAGCTATACTACTTTATTCATGAGTCGTATGTATCTGTTTACAATATCGTATTGTAGAACTTAGGGGTTGGAATATGCTAGTATATGGTGCTCTCCGAGTGAGCTTATCAAGAGCTGGTCACCAGAGATTTGGTCTCTTCGCGAACCAGTTTGGACTTTAATGGTATAAAACCGAACCAGTTCAGTTTGGTACCCTGCTCATCCCAAGACACTAGAAATGTCTCTCAAATTACTCAAAGATTTGACGGTTGAATATCTGACGGAGTGACTACATGAGAGTAACATTACCAAATTGAGTCCTCTCAGATGTTATAAGTCATACCAGCGGCCCTAGAGAAACAAAGGCGGTTTTGGCAAGAGAGGAGAGCAAGCAACCATGGCTTGCAGCAGAGGGTAGGCAGCACGGACCACATACAGAGGTACATGCACCTTGCCTGGCAGATAAGGCTCACCTCGCCCATGATAGTGTTCAGATATGGCCCGCTTTTGACAATGGGGTAGATGCCTTACTCTTTACAATGGGGTAGATGCCAGGCAGCACGTTGATGCCACACACGCCGTCCCCTCCCTGAATGTCCATGCGCATGTGGCCCTTGTTGCCCCAATCCTCTCCCCACGAGTTGCGGATGATCCAAAACGGAGGAGCAATGCGGTTCTGGCTGCCATCATTTCTTGTAATGAAGTAGCCAATAACGAGTACAACATGGTTGAGATTGCCTGTGTAGCAACCAGGATCCTGGTATTTAAAGGTCTGGAGTGAGATGAGGGCAGAACATTCAGAAAGGGGGAGTTCAACCAGAACAGGTCAGACAGGTGTGTGTGAAGCTGAAAAAGGCGGATCCAGCATTCTAAAGTGATGGGACTCGTCTACCATCCAGGTGACACAAGCAACCACACACTTAACACGGTAGCCACCAAAGTGAGCGAAAGGTGCAGCAACTCACCCCATCATACCGCATGAAGGTTGGAGATGCCTCGATGTGAACCAACACTGGCTGCCGCTGCACTGCCAGCATGAGACCCACATACCCCTTGAACTGCGCTCGCTCAAACGCCTGCACCGGGTATGTAGTTGCCTGGGGCCGCGACATTGCAGCATTGTTCGATGGGAAGAGGTGGGGTTGGGTTGGGGTTTGGGGTGAGATTGGGGTGGGAAAGGGGAGGTTTGAAGAAGTTCTGAAACCAGGGAAGGGTACACTCGTCCCTCATGAGAAGGGACAAGCAAAAAAAAGCAAGGCAAGCTATGAGCAACACAACTATAAACCTTCCACCACGTCAGACGATGCCTCAGTAGATCAGCAACGAATTTCTGGGATCAGACACCGATGAGAAACCTGTATAAGTTTCCATTCCGGATTCTGAAACATAGACTTGGCAAGCTGGTTGGATGAGTTGCATTCGTTACCATTCCGGATTCTGAAACGGCGAAGCAAGAAAAGTAATTTGCCCTCCCCAAAGCTGACACCAATATATCTTTCATGATTTTATCCCACCTTACATGAAACATATCATACCAGATCACATCCTCGTGCTGTTAGCCCTACCGGGTCGCTGGCCCCTGTGAGCCCACTGGTGGCATCGAGATTTTTATAATCAGATGGTGTACCAGTTTCGAATCCTAGAACAGGAAAGCAAGCATAGAATTTTACCCTCCACAATACTCTCAAGAATATATCTTTCATGAATTTATCCCACCTCCCATGTTACATACCATATCATACCACGACCTCGTGCTGCTGGCCCTACCGGGTCGCTGGCCCCTGTGAGCCCACTGGTGGCATCAAGTGCCACAAGCTTCTCAAAGGCCTGCGTGGGGGAGCCGCCAGCGGAGCACTTGTCAGAGTCGGAGAGCCCCATGAGCGCAAAGAGCGCCTCCACAGCCAGCCGGGGAGCGCTCTGCTGCTTTGCAATGCCGTATGCCGCCTCCACACTCGCCACCACCGCATACGCCCAGCACGCATCTGAGAGGAAGGCGGCAGTGAAGCAAGGTGAAGCTTGCAATAAGGATGCAGTGATGAAGATAGGCTGCACATTTCATGTATTTGGGCTACGATTTTATGTTAAGAGGGGTAAAGTGTAGATTCGACAACTTCATCAATCCAGTTTCCTCACAGTTTGAATAGATTCTCATGGAGTTGTGTTCCAATCCCCCCTTCTCCATTTAATTGCTCTTGATGTGCCGTACTTCAGACTGTGTGCCTTGCCTTCTATGTAATCGTTCATTGGCATCTGCCGCATGAACGCGGTACAGACTACAATAATCAGTGAGAATCTCCACATTAGAGTAAATAAGGAATGCCAAGATTTATAGTTAACGAGCTTGTTGTTGCAGTCGATCAGTAAACAGCAACAGCAAAATGGATTGGAAAGCAGCTCAGATACTGACGTGGACTCATGATTCTGTTTTCACTCACTGCAGTCATTTTGGTTCTTGACAGGCCATTTGAGGAAGGGCACAGAGTCCCACGTGTGGAAGTCACGAATACTCCATGAGTCCGCTCTGGTGGCAGACAGCTTGAAGTCCGCACTCACATAGCGCGAAAAGGGACTGGCTCGAGATGGCGCAAATGTGGCCTCTGACAGTGAGAGGCCAAGGGCTGTTTCGGGCAGCAAGGGTTGGACATGTACAGATATGTGGATGGAGGTAGTAGTTGATGGTGCGGTTAAGAAATAATAATTGAGTCGGTTAATAATGGAGGTCAAGGATTCTTACGTACATCAGTAATGAACTGGAAAGAATCGACGGCATCCCCCAATGGGACGGGTTAAATTATCCATTCGGTTAAATTATTCAGATGATCACAATAGGGTAAGGTTCGAATATTGGTGCAATCCACCTCACAAACTAAAGCGACACCAAATCAGGGTATAAAGTACGAGTACACAGGTTGACATTGAAGTCAATCTCTAACAACCCCTCAATCTCTAGCATCCTAGAGCTAACGAGGTAGTGATGAGCGGCACGGCCAAGGGCGCTGTTGAATAGGCAAGCAATAAGCTACAAAAATGGGCAAGTGCTCCCAACCGGGCAACCAGTGCTGCAGACAGGGTAGTGACTACCATCAGCTACCATCAGCTCTTTGAGAGTTTATCCTAAAGCCCCCATTCATTTGACTTCCCTAGTGACCTAGAGTGGTAGCCAGTTAAGATTATTCGGTGGTAGTTCTGCACATAGTGCACTAACAACGGACCACAACGGCGTGGTTGGAAGATGGATGCTGTTCGGTACACGCCAGTATTTATATATATATATATATATATATTCTGCAGGTTGCCACTAATCATTATAGGCTCTGGTTCCCACATGTCATGGAGCTCACCTTGCTCATTGGACTGGACTGGCTTGGGTAAAGGAGCGCCTGTGGAGAGAGACACAAGAAGAAAGAGAAGCACTAAAGCCATAAAGCACTATGAAAGGTGCCATCATCATCATCAATACACAGCAGAACACCTGAAATAAACACCCAATCCTACTGTATTGCTCATTAGGCATGAGCAACGCTCAAACCCGAATTGGTTCACGATGAACCCAGTCAAACCAGAATGCCGAAATATCTCAGCTTTGAAGGAATTAACGCGTAAGAGAAGAAGTGACCGTGCAACCGAGCTGGATTACTGAGGGGTGCTAGGAATGAAGAGAGAAGGGAATAGGGGCTCGAACACCCCTTCTGAACCCTAGAAGCTGTAAGTACCAATAGTTAACCACCACCACCACCACCACCGCCGCCGCCGCCGCTACAATTGCCGCCGCCACCACCACCACCACCCCACCACCACCATCACCACCACCACCCGCACCGCACCCATCATCAAGGCAGTTACCATCACCCCACCTGCCGAAATAACCTTGCCTGTTTGCACAGCGGAGGAGTAAATGCCTTGCAGCTGGAAGGGCTTCACAGTGGTGGACGCCACAAAACCAAATGAGAACGCCGTCTGCTTCACTCCAGGCTGCAGCACCGCACACAGCGACACCTTCCCCTGCAGCAGTGGCTCCTCTGGCTTCATCTTTGAATCCGCCAGGAACACTTGAATGCTGCTGGGATTCCGAGGCTCATAATCCACCCACACAGTGTATACACTGCCATCTGTGAAAGTGAATGGTGACACCTCCTTGACCAAGGGTTCCTCTGTGCCGTTGACACTCAGCACCACGTGCTGTTCACCCATATCAGTCGGAAGTGTGCTGAAGACAACAGCCATGCTCCTAGGTCCCACTCCTCTATACCCCACACCACCAGGCTTCCCCACCTTGGGCTTTGCTGCGATCACAAATGCAAAGCCGTTGGAACCGGCAGTACCAGACTGGGGCACGAGAGCAAAGGTGAAGTGTACTTTGAAGGCCAACTCTAAGCCGCATCCTGAGGTCACACCAGGAAGGTACAGAAACAGAGCCACTGGCTTTGCCACGAACTTCCCCACCGTTTCCTTCTTCGTTCCCTTGGTGAGAATCGCGAATGGCGGGAGAATGCTCCTTGGGGGAGCTGGAGAGTGGAAGGGTGGGAGTGGAGGAGCAATGGAATGTGTGTGTTAAGCTGTGCAAACCAGATCACTTGGTCAAAACCATGTGAAGATTACTAAGTTAATCTTGTCTGCGTGTCACCCCTAATTCAACAAGCTCAACAACCATGGATAACCTGGGGAGCATGCAGCAAAGCTTGGGCTCAACCGATATATGCAAGTAAGAAAATAGAGGATGGCTACGAAGTGCATAAGGGAAGGAGCACAAAGACTGTGAAGTCTAGTGTGTGAAAAGAATTGAACCATTAGATTGATTAGAAAGTTGAACAAGCAAACATAGGCTTGAGAAGTGGGAGAAGGAAGGGTTGGAGAAGAAAGGGTTGGAGAAGGAAGAAGGGGAGGTACACTAGATGGAGTGGACAAATCAATGGCCCATTGGGTAGAATTGGCAACACTTGGGGAAGTGTTGCTAACCCAATGGCCCACTGGGTTGGTTTGACAACACTTGGGGGAAGGTTGCCAACTTGTAGCAAGTGGATTGGGTTGGCAACTTCTTGGGAAGTTGTTGCCAACCTGTGGCCAAAATGGGTTGAGTTGGCAACTTCCACCAAGGACCAGATGGTTGCAACTTGGGGGCTTCACCACAATTGGGTTGGATTGACACCCCAACTGCAAGACTACACCCAATGTTGGGTGTAGTCCCAACCAAACTGTACACCGCACTTGGTGTACAGTCACAAACTTAGCATGCTAGAACGTATAAACATAATGCTCTGAGAGAATGTTCCAGTCGCTTATCACCTCCTGGAATACAGTTGATTCTTCCAAGAGGCAAGAATCCTGCACCACACAAGCACGTTGGCACCAAGCTGGGTCCGTCTGGGTAGCACAAGCCGCGACCACCACAGGCAGCAGTGGTTGGAGAGATGCCACAAAACGCCATGCACTGTGCTGCGGGCCGCTGTAACTCAGGAACGCAGTTTTTGCTTGGTGTAAAGCAGTTGGCAGCGATGGAGTGTCTCTTGCAGTCTGCTGCGAGCACAACACCCGACAGGTAGTTGTCGGACAAGTCCACTCGGATGGGCGGGAGATTCACCAGGGGGCCTGTGAGGTAGTTGCGGAAGAGAGCACTGCCAGGGGGAGGGTAGGAAAATCAAGATAGAAGAAGAGGATAATGGGAAGAGGGGTCAACAGAGAGCATTGGTACAGAATAGCATCTAGAGGAGAAATGGCAAATAGAAGAGGACCAGAAACTGGAGTACATACTGCTAGATATTGACTTTTGTACTTAAACCTTTTATGTCCTAGCTCTGTGTAGTTGGGTTCTGTTGTGTTGTGATTGTGAGGATGCTGATTGCAATGGGGATAGACAGTGAGTTGATTGGTTCAGCTTACGACAATGACAAGGATGAGCTAAACGAGGAGCAATGAGGCACGGAGGCCTCCCACTACACAAAAGTTAATCAGAGCGCCTTGCCAATCGCCTGGAATCTGAACCCATCAGGCACTCAAATCATGGGTTCTAGACAGCAACGTGGCTTGAATCTCAGCACAGAGGTGTTTGCCAGAGTCAGCACTTTTTGCATGTCTGCAAACAGACCGTTTTGAGTCGACTCAAAAGTCACAGTACAGAATGTGGTCACAATCACACAATCACGTGACTCTAGTCACATGCATACTACTTGTCACAAAGGATCAGGCTAAGTTAGCTGGAGTTAGGGATGAGCAAGTGGCGAACACGAACGTGTTCGTGTTCGCCCCTACACGAACACCTTCGTTTGCCGAACCGAACACTGTTCGGTTCGGCGAACACTTTGAGCAAAAAATGGTGTTCGCCGTTCGCCTGTGAAGGCGTGTTCGGGCGAACCTCGAACACTGTTCGTGTTCGTCGCGGGCAAATTGCAGCAGCGGCCCGAACACGAACGTGTTCGGGCGAACATCGAACACTGTTCGGCGAACATTTTAAGCCAAAAAAAAAATACCTGTTCGGTTCGCCTCGAACACGTTCGAGGCGAACCGAACAGGTGTTCGTTTTTTTGCTCAACCCTAGCTGGAGTCAAAACCGCACCTGGTGAGAAGCTGGCAGAAGCTGGCCATGAAGGATCTTGGTAAGCTGACGAAATATTTGGGCATGACAATCACACATGATCGTATGGCTCGCACCGTCACCATCTTGCAGAAGTTTTGCAGGAGCAATGTTCTGGAGCGTTCGGGATGCTGGAAGCAACACCGATGCATACCCCACTCTCTCTGCAGCACCAGCTCACTGCACCCCCCATCCCCTCGCCTGAGCCATGCGACGAGCCGTATCCTGCTCGTCGGATCCTGATGTACGCGATGATGTGCACTTGGCCAGACTTGGCCTACCCAGTCAATGTACTCCCTTGCTATGTTGCATCTGATCGCTTCACCCGCCAACACTGGTCTGCAGCCAAGCAAATTCTTCGCTACCTTTAAGCTACACAGGATTATGTACTCACACTGGAGGGTTCCTCACCCGTTCGCCTTGAGGAGTACAGTGACTACTTGTGGGCTGATGACCAGAGTGATAGACGCTCATGTTATTTCTTTACTCTTGGCTGTGGGGTTGTGAGCCTGCACTCCACTCGTTCGCCCTCAATCCTGTGAAGAAGGGCTGTACGCCGGGACCATGGTTGCCCAGGAGGCCCGTTGGCTTTACTTCCAGCTTGTCGAACTCGGGTATCCTCAACCAGCTCCCGCGTTTTGGTGTGACAACAAGAGCACCATTCAACCCACGATAGACGCATTGGTCTATTTTGGTGGCCGATCCAACCTAAGCCGAACATTTCAACCCAAACTAACATGACTCGTCAACGAGTCGGATCGACCCTTGCTGACAGATCGACCGGACCCTTAACTTTCCATATTACGGGTCGACCCAAACCAACTGGGGCCAGAATACCAAGTCAGGTCCGGTCAACACAACATGCGGGTCAATCTGCCCATGTCTATCTACGCGGCGCTTCGTCGTTGGGCTACAGCCCGTCGCCAAGCATCTGCGCACTGCACCTGATCGGGCTGCTGATTGTCTCCTTATCGGCGCAGCAGAACAGGGGATATCACGAGGAAAGCGGATCCCAGCAGCTAGGCTAAACCCGGAATGTAGAGAAGGGGAAACGGGGGAGGGGGAAGGGGAGTGTGGTGGCGAGGATGCAAACTCGTTGCACATGGGCTCACAGGTAGACACGAACATAGAACCAGACCCGGAACAGTTCACCCTCCTGATTCAGGACGAAATACAGAAGTTTGACTCGAAACCAGGTTTTAACATGAGGGCTTAACGTTAGAACCGTGAGCTGTTCAGGCCGTTTCAACAGAAAAAAAGGTAGTCCAGTTCGGTTCGACTAGCACTGCCAGTTCGACCCAATGCGGTTTGGGTCCACTATTCGCTAATGCCTCACAGAATTTGCAGGTTTGTGAGGTAGCCTATTGCAGTGGGAATCGTGCCAGAGAGTTGATTGGTAGCAAGATATCTGCAAGGATGAGCATGAACGGGTGTGCAGAGAAGATGCACGAAACATGATAGGTAATGCGATGGACATTGTTTGTGGTGGGGTGAGATGTGTGTGCTGACAGTGCCAACCAGGGGAAGGATGGAGACATGAGAAAGACGAGTTCTATGCCTGTCAGGCATGCATACAATGACCACGGGCAAGAGAGCAGCGGGAAAGGGGAGGGTTCAGGCGAAATCAAGATAGGACAAGTGGTCAGCGGAGCGGAGCTGATGCAAGTGGATATGAAGGAAGAGGGGAAAATAGAGTACATGGGCGTTGAAAGGAGGAGAAACGACAGGGAGTAGAGAAGAGAAGAACCTGGAGTACAGCCAAGCGAAGGCCTTGTTGGGGGCTTACAGAGTGTTCAGTTTTGCAAGGTTGCCGATTGCAGCAGGAATTGTGCCAGTGAGCTGATTGGAAGAAAGTGATCTGCAACAATGAGTATGATATGAAGGGTATGCGGTAGATATAGGAAGCTCAAGTTTGCATTGCAACGAGTGACGGATAGAAGCAAGGAAGCAACTCCATGGAAATCGAAATCCCTCAGAATGCAACAGAGGCATGAAACGCAGTCCGTGGGATGTGTGCTGACACTGGCAGAGGATAGGTGGGGGCAGAAGAAATGCCCGGAAGGTAGATAGGAAATAAGGACAAGGAAGGAATGAGGAAGGATGGAGGGATGATGCATTCAGGGCTGTGAATGGAGGAAGTATGGAAGGATTTCGAGGTTCTAGGTCTGGAAAAATCGCAAGGTTAGAGTACGAATGGACGAGCAACACAAAGGGATGCACAAGAGACATCAAGAGGGACAAGCAAGGAGCAAGGACGAAACGGAGCAGAAAGGCATCATGCTGGGAAAACGGATTGAAAAAGTGCCTTGGTGATTGCCCAGAATCTGACACCAGCAGGCACTCGTACCCCTTACCACCTAGACAGGAGTGTGACTTCACTCTCCCTTGCCAACCAGCACACATGTGAAAGCAAGAATTGTGTCAGACTCAGTTCACTGTTTCTGCATGTCTGCAGACAGACACTCTAATGTGTGGCCATCCCACTACTAGTAACGAGACCACAGGATGCAGCAAAGGAGAGGGCGGTGATCAACGGAGCATGGATCAGGACTAGCATCAACAGGAGGAGAAATGGTGGAAAGTAGAGAGGGGAACAAACTGGAGTACAGCCTAGCGAAGGCCTTTGAGGGGGCTTACAGATAAGTCAGGTTTGCAAAGTTCCCCATTGATGAAGGAATTGTGCCAGTGAGTTGATTGCTACCAAGATCTCTGGCATGATGAACATGAATGCACATGCGGTAGACACAGGAAGCTCAATGTTGCATGGCAGGAAGCAGCGGATTGGAGCAAGCAGATCAATTGGATGGCGAAATCCCTGATAATGCAACAGGTTAGTATGGCTCAACGGACAAGCGAACCTCTCCCAGCGGAATCGCTGCCCAGAGGCAAAAGAAGTAAACCCTCTTGGGAATGGCATGCAATTTTTGTCAGCATCAACCCTAAACACCTTGCCGCATGGAGGTTAGGGTTGATGCCGACAAAGATGCATGCCTTTCCTAAAGGGTTTTACTTTTTTTGCCTCTGGGCAGGGTGACGCATCGAAAAGCGTCAGCATTTTGCGTCATTCCAGGCAAAACGGAGCGTCAACCTGTGTTCCGCTGATATATACAGAGTCATGAAACACATAACGATGGAAACTGTCCGTGGGATGTGTGCTAACACTGGCAGGGGAGGGATAGATGGGGACAGGTGTTCTACTTTCTGCTCAAACATAGTCAAGAGTCGGAATGGGGGCAACACGAATTGAAAAGTGTAAGAACATTTTGGGAGGAGGATAGATGGGCAACAGCAATCAATTACGAGGGACGAGCAAGAAGCAAAGAGGAATGGAAAAAGGCATTATGAAGTAAGAGAATGGTTCAAAAGAGTGCTTTGCCTATTTCCCCGAATCTGAGCTCGAATCCTTTGCTGTAGACAGCAGTGTGGCTTCACTCTCCCTTACCAACGGGCACAGAGGTGTTAACCAGAGCTGTGTCAGACTCAGTTCGCTGTTTGTGCATGTCAGCAGACGGACACTGCAGTGCAGTGTTTGGTCATTACACACCCTCAAATCACTTCTCGCTTGCAATCCACGATCACATGGCTCTAGTCGCATGCGCATTACTAGTACCGATACCTAGACATGAGCAACGGACAAACACCAAACCAAACACGTTTGCGCGAACCTGTACGAACATGTGAAGAGGGTGAACCGAACATGTTCGGTTTGCCCGAACAGTTTTTGGTGATTAGGGGTGTTCGAGGTTTGTGATAGGGGGCGAACATCTGCATGTTCGGGGCGAACATGTTCGGGTTCGAGCATGTACTTTCAGTGGGCCAGCTCCTCCCCAGTCGCCCCCTCTCCCTCCCCCCCCTCCCCTTCCACCTCCAGGGCCGTGCGTCGCCATGTGTGCCTCGATAACCGTATAGGCTTGGAAATGATGGCTACCAAACCCGGGAACATTTCTGGCCAAATAATGGAATGTTCGGTTCGTCTCAAACATGTTCGAGGCGACCAAACAGGCCGAGACCACAGCATACAGCGAAGGAGAGGGTGGTGGTCAGCGGAGTGGATGCGAGTGGATATGAGGAAAAAGAGGTCATGGAGTGCATGGGTCAGGACTAGCATCAAACGGAGGACAAACGGAAGAGTGTAGAGAGGAGAAGAAGCGGGATTACAGCCAAGCAAATGCCTTGCCAGGGGCTTACAGCGAGATCAGTTTTGCAAGGTTGCCGATCTCAGAAGGAATTTTGCCACTGAGCTGATTGACAGAAAGTGATCTGCAACGACGAGTATGAAGGGGTATGCGGTACATATAGGAAGCTCAAGTTTGCATGGCAACGAGTGACGGATAGAAGCAAGGAAGTGGTGGATAGAGGGGTCAATGAAATGGAATGCATGGGTCAGGACTAGCATCAAAAGGAGGAGAAGTGGTGGAGGGTAGAGAGGAGGAGAAGCTGGAGTACAGCCAAGCAAAGGGTTTTCAGGGGGCTTACAGAGAAGTCAGGTCTGCAAAGTTGCCCATTCCATCAGGAATTGTGCCAGTGAGTTGATTCCTAGAAAAATCTCTGCCACGATTAACATGAATGCGCATGTGGTAGATGGAGGACGCTCAAGTTTGCATGAAAGGAAGAGGAAAGATGGGGACAGGAGAGGTGAGGAGGGTGGCGGAATGTAGATAGGAAGGAGAGAGGCGGAAAGGAAAGCAGAAAAGAAAATGAAGGAATGAGGAGGAATAGAGGGATGATGTGGAGAGTGCTGTGAAAGGAGGAAGAGAGGGATGCAAGAAGCATGCAAACTTCTGAGGTTGTGGGACTGGAAGGGACAGAAGGTTGAAGAAGGGATGAGCGAAACCCAACCACGAACATGTTTGCGAACGGAACGGAACTTGTTCGGAAAATCTCTAGAGCGCGAACAGAACTTGTTCGTTCTGCCCCGAACACTTATCTGGAAACTAGTGTTCGTATGTTTGCCTTTGTAGGCAATTACTTTGGGGCAAACATGTTCGTGTTCACCTTTTGGCAACACTCT